CCGGGGGCCCTGTTCCGGGGCCCCTGAAGGGCCCCCCATGTCTGCAGCCCTCGCTGCCCCTCCATTTATTGCCCCCCACTAATTCGCGCCCAGGGAGGAAAAGCGAGACGCTCGCATGTTGGGATCCGGGGTTTTCCGGAGTCGGCCGCTTTGAGTGAAGACCATGTCTAGAGATTGTTTGTGACAGGTCAGCGTCAAGGACTGGAAGATCAGCGCGCTTAGATCATCTCTCTCCTCCTCCTCCTCCTCGTCCTCCTCCTCCTCCTCCTCCTCCTCCTCCTCCTCCTCCTCCTCCTCCCCTCTTCCCATTTCCGTCCTCGTCCTCGGGGACGCAGGGATGATCGCGCATCACGCTTCTCACGACAGGATGCTTGATGTGGGCCTGCCGAAGTTAGGCCGCAATTCTTGGCAATTAAAAGTAGTCCTCGGCTCTGGTATCACCTTAGTTCGATCTCGAATGTGGTCCAATCTGGCTCAGTCTGGCTTAGTCCAGCCTGAAAGTGGCACCGTCCGCTTCAACCCAGCTTCTGGATCACTCCCAGGTTTTTCTGGCTCAGTATGTAGCTCCATCCACAATGCCGCTGAGCACTTCTCGTGGGGGATGAGAGGGGGAGACACAAACAAAAAGCAGCGCCGCTCAACAGCAAAGACCTCACAGCTGACTCGCGCCCGCGAGTACCTCCCAGCAGTCGCCACCCAACCCAAGGAGCCCAAGCATCTGGACGGGCGCTGGACGAAACGTCGGCCGATTTTTCTTCGACCAGTTCGGGGATGTCGTGACCGCCGTCCTCGGGGGGGGAGTGCACAGGTCTCGGCCAGACTCGCAGCTCCAGAGGGACCCGACTCCCCTTTTGCTCCTGCCCTCGCCTCTGCGAACAGCGCCGACGCTGAGCGGTCGTCCGGCGACCTTCCAGAGTCAGTTTCGATTTGGCCAGTCCAGTAGACATAGTAGGATTGTGTAAAGACCCTCCTGGCCTCGGCCAGGATGTCCTGGACATCATGTAGGGGCCCACACTAGGCACACACAAGAAGAATCGCAGAAACTGGAAAGGGACCTACGCGCGCAAGGGGCCTTAAAAAGAATAAAGCTTCGAAGCGCCGGCGGCCGAGGCTCATCGTGAAAGAGCGCGGGGCCTCCCCTCTCACGAGCTGAACCCGCCCCCCCAGCCCCCCCCCATCGCCACGCCCCGCCCTCCGCTTTCCTTCCTTCGGAGGTTGATAGACCTCCTACCCTGACACGTCGATTAGCGAATTGGCCGTTTTCGGTTAGCGAGAGGGCGTCGCGGCCGTCATTTTTGTGGGTCCAGGTCCGTCGGTTTCGGTCCTAGGCCGTTGTCACTAAAGGGTGGTTTGCTAAAGGGAGGTTTGTCCACCTCCGATTCCGGGCCGGGGGGTGGGAGGGCTAGCTCAGAAGTGCGACGCGACATTATCGAGGGGCTCCTTCTTAAAAAGAAGATATACCTTGCAGAAGTTGCTGGCAAATCGCATGTTTGTATGAGCTCACTTCGCAAGAGCGCGGCCGGGCAAGTGTGCCCCCGGGTGCAGGGGCCGGCGCGCCTCCTTTGCCCTCCCCCGCTCCCCCTCTTCCCTCCCCCTCCCCGCCCCGCGCGCTTGTCGTTCGTCCGTCGTCCGCCGTTTCCGTCGTCGCGTCGTGTCGTCCCCCTGCTCTCTGCCACAGGGCTCCCGTTTGCGATGTTTTCTTTCTACAACAACAGATCAAACACGCGGGGGGAGGAGGAGGGGGAGGAGGACGAGGAGGAGGAGGAGGAGGAGGAGGAGAAGGGGGAGGAGGAGGAGGAGGAGGAGGAGGAGGAGGAGGAGGAGGAGGAGGAGGAAGAAGAGGAGGAGGAGGGAGGAGGAGGACGAGGAGAGGAGGAGGACGAGGACGGAGGACGAGGACGAGGACGAGGAGGAGGAGGAGGAGGAGGAGGGGAGGAGGAGGAGGAGGAGGGGGGGGTGGAGGAGGAGGAGGAGGAGAGGAGGACGAGGAGGAGGAGGAGGAGGAGGAGGAGGAGGAGGAGGAGGAGGAGGAGGAGGAGGAGGGAGGAGGAGGAGGCGGAGGAGGATATTAATCCCTGTCATCGGCCCTTCATCAAAGCTTTGAGGGGTATTTGGTGGTGCTCCCGTTGTGGAGCCTGGACCCATCGTGCTACCAAGAAATCCGTGGATCCCTGCCAAGCCCCCACAGAAGGAGGCAGGAAGGCGATCCAGAAGCTCACCCAAGATAAACTTCCGCCAGGTCTCAAAGCCTGGCCAGACGGGCCCACATGAGGCTCGTCGTCGGCTGCCCTCACGCGGAGGGGACGAACCAGGCACAAGGCCTCGCGCCCGCCAGCCCAAGGCATTCCCCTGCAGCCGGTTGCCGGTTCGTCCGAGGCCCGCGCGCGGGGGCGTCGCGTCCCCTTGCCCGGTTGCAGGTTCGTCCGAGGCCGGCGCAGGGCTGGCCGCGCGCACGTTGTCACGGGGGCCGCGTTCCCGGGCCCCGGGGGGCGTTTTTCATTCTTGTCATCCGCTCCTCATCAAAGTTTTGAGGGGGTTTTGGTGGTGCTCCCGATGTGGAGCCTGGACCATTCGTGCTGCAAAGAAATCCGTGGCCAAGCCCCCGCAGAAGGAGGCAGGAAGGCTTAAGCCCACCCCAGGTAAGCTTCCGCCAGGTCTCATAGCCTGGCCAGACGGGCCCACATGAGGCTCGTCGTCGGCTGCCCTCACGCGGAGAGGACGAACCAGCTGCCGAGGCGGGCGCGCGCGGAGGAGGAGGAGGAGGAGGAGTAGGAGGAGGAGAAGCAGGAGGAGGAGGAGGAGGAGGAGGAGGAGGAGGAGGCGGAGGAGGAGGAGGAAAAGGGGAGGTGGGGGTCTCGCTCAGAAGTGCGACCTGGGGCCGCCGACCCCGGCCCCTCGCGCGGGCTGGGGCGCGGCGGCCCGCCGCGCGACGGCGCGGCGGCGCGTCCTCCAGCGAGCCCTGCGTTTAGGTCGGGCGTGGCCCTCTACAGGAGGGAAATTCGAGAATGGTCCAAAAGTCGGGGGGCGATGTTTCTGGCACGTTTGGGCGTGCGTTTGCACATTGTTTTAAATTATTTTTATTATCGTCCAACATCCCCCTGTATTGGGGGACGCGCCCGACTTAACCCTGCATCCCTCCGCGAAACTTCGCGCAAGTTCTCCCGCGCCGCGTCGGCGCCCCAGGACACCCAAATTTCAATGTTGATGCCGAAACACGCGACTTCAAATTGTCCGACGGCGTCCGCGGCCGCGCACCGAGCCGCGCGCGCAACGGAACATTGGAATTGGGGGCGATGGGGGGGTCGGCCAAACTTGCGTTAAGTTTCGTGTAGGGTTGTAGTGTTACGTATCCATGAACGCAGTCACAAGCACGCTCGAAGGCCCCTTTCCGGCTCGGCTTCAGAACTGCACAGTACCGCATAGCATTGCATAGCGTTGCACATCACTGCCCAGCTTCTAGGGCTGAGCTGGGCCCCGAGCGAATCAGATGTGACTTGCGGTATGGCCCAAGAAACTTCGTTTGCGTTGCCATGTCGTGGCGGCGCGCGTATTTCGTCGTGTTGCAGGGTGCTCTCTGCGATGCCGCGGCGTTTGGCCTGGCCCTGGCTCACATGGCCCCTTTGGTTGCGAGAGCCATGTTGGTGCGACTTTGGGATGCGAGCGGGCGCGTTCTTCGAGGCCGCGTTGACGGCCATTCGGCCGTTCAGCGCGCCGTCTTGGAAGCCATCGACCAACACTTCGCGCGCGGAGTGAGATTTCCATGGGAACCGTGCTAGTTAGCAGGGTTAGGTTGCAGGGGGGGCCTTTGGCCCAATCCGAGCAGAAATCCAACTGCAGCGAGAGATAAATATAGTTGAGAGAGAGAGAGAGAGAGAGAGAGAGAGAGAGAGAGAGAGAGAGAGAGAGAAAGAGATATGAAAACATATTGGAGATATGGGAGAGATGGGAGATATGCGAATACATTTACATGCATGTATATACACATACACACACATACATACATACATACATACATACATACATACATACATACATACATACATACGTATACATTTGTGCATATGCACACATATGTATCACATAAGGAGATATAGAGAGATGGATAGATGAGCGAGAAAGAGAGAGAGAGAGAGAGAGAGAGAGAGGGAAACAGGCAGAGAGAGAGGGGAGAGAGAGAGAGAGATATTCAGAGAGAAACACAGAGACACAGAAAGAGACTGAGGATCTGGTGGGATGGGCGGTGCTTCGCGGCGCGCTTCCCGCGGGGTCTTCACATAGGGAGGGAAGGGGGGAAGGGGGGAAGGGGGGAGGGCAGATCGGGACTGCATCGAGCGAGGGCGGAGAGGGGGGGCGGGGACCGAAGGAGGTTTTGGGAGGGACAACCCACGTGACAAAACCAACGTTTTTTTTAAAAAAAAATTTGGCGTTTCGACATTGGGCGGAAGGGGGGGGGGTCTGGCTCCAGACCCCTGCCTGACGCTACTGTTTGTAGCACGGTGTCCATTATGGGGGAGACCCCACCTGCTCGAAACAGGCGCCAACAACAACCAAAACCTACTCCATTGGTGTGGGAGGGGGGGGTGGGCGAGGGCCCGCGCCGATCGGCAAAACAACTGATGAGACAACGCTCGACCTAAACGGTGTTTTAGCGATCTCGTGGGCCGCCCCCGTTTTGATCTCGTTCTGCAGCAGAGGCGGATCGAAGACAGAACGAAGGAAAACGAAAACAGACAGAACAATGGGAAACATTGTTTAGGTCGAGCCACAACAGACGAGACGGCCGCTGGACAGCCCGCGGGACCACACGGCGGGGCGCCGCCGAACCAAGAGCAGAAACCTGCCGCGCGACTCGGCCCCGGCCCTGGCCGACACCATCGCCCGCGCGCAGCTGCGCCTCGCCCGCGCGCGCGCTGTTGGGGCCACTTCGCTATCATCCCCGGGGCCCCCATGAGGAGTGCAAGCGACGCCCCCCCCCCCCCCCCCCCCCCCCCCCCGCGCAGGCGCGGGGCGCGAAGGAGAAGAAGAGGGGCAGGAGGCGAGGCGCCGCCAGCGACGCCGAGGACGAGGAGGAGGGCGAGGTGGCAGAGGTCGCGGACGAGGAGGAGGCCGCCCACGCCTCTCTCCGCCCGGGCCCCCCCCCCCCCTCTCGGCCGACCTGTCCTCCCCGCAGGCGCGCCCGTCGAGAGAGGAGCAGGGGCCGAAGGAGGCGGCTCCCGGGGCAGGGGCGGAGGCCTCCTGGAAGTTGACGTCAAGGTCGGACCTACACTTACGTCTCGGGCGTGCCCCTCTACAGGGGGGAGATTCCAACATAGTCAAAAAATAGTACGGGGACGATTTTTCGACTGTCTTTGATCATCTTGGGAGCAGTATTTGAGTCTTTCTAAGTGTTCGCCCAAGATCCCCCTGCAGGGGGACACGCACGATTTAAACCTAAGCGCTGTCTTGCTGAACTTCGGCTGTGTTTTGTTTTTTCGTTTTCGGCAGGGGGGTACAGGAAAACAGGTAGAGCCAAACGAACAACAAAACGCAGACAACACGAAGGACAACGTTGAGGTCCAGCCCTGGTCGACGTGGCGACGCAGTCGCGACGGCGGAGTCCCGGGGGCGCCAACATGTTGGGCTTCGGGGTTTCTGGAGCCGCGCGTGCCTGCTTTGTCTGCTGCTGTGCCCTGCAGGGCCTCCGGGCACCCAGCGTGCCGCGTGCACCGGGGAGGCCTTCCCGGGCGCGCCCTTCGCTCGGCTGGAGTCCCGCGCATGTCCTGTTCTGTCCGCTGCTGTGTGCCTGGCATGGCTTCCGGGCGCTCTGCGTGCCTCGTGCGTCGGGGAGGGCCTTCCCAGGGGGGGGGTCCCCCAAGGGGGGCCCTCCGCTCGGGCAGCCTTGCCCTGTTCCTCTCCGCCAGCCCCAGACGTCCGGCTGCTCCACCTCTTTCGACGCGTGGGCCTTGGAGGTCCGGACCCTTTCTCTCAGGAGGGAAAAAAACACACAGACACAATTAATCTTCGATTCCCAGGAAAATATGGGAAAATATGGGAATTGGGGGGGAAGACAAAAACCCAGAAAATATAGGAAAATATGGGGACTATTTTTATTTGTGTGTATTTATTTGTGTGTCCTAATTTCCCTTTATTCTCCAGGGCCAGCATCTCGTCCCGAGTCGTGTTTTGGCGCCCCCGAGGCCCGCGAGGGCCCCCGGACGCCGAAAAGGCCCCAAACCCGCCGCCCCCGCTGCTCGGGAAGCGTCGGCTCTCCGGGCTCGGCCGCGCCTGGGCGCGGCTCCCGTCGGGGTTTAGGGTATAGGGCGTCCGAGAGCGGCGTCGGGGGCCGGATGCCGAGCGGGCGTTTTTGTGCCGGCCACGTCCGGGCGGCGCGGCGCGGAGCAGCGCCGCGGGCAGAGACGGGCGCGCCTCGTCGGCCTGCTTATTGCGCCCTATGCGCGCCTGGATCCCGGCCTCCCCGGGGGCCGGCTGCGGCCCTCGATCGCTCGCCCCCCCCTGGCTCCTGATCCGCCGTACTTTGGATGATTTTCCGACCTAAAATTGTGTCGGAAATCGACGCCAAAGGAGCCTCAAGGGCGGAAATCGACGCTCAAAGGGGCCTTAAAAGTAGGGCGGAAATTTCCGCCCTACTTTCGAAATCGCCCAAAGTAGGGCGGATCAGGAGTCAGGGCCCCCCCCCCTGCCCTTGCGGAAGAGGAGGGTGCAGTGCCGTTTTTAATACATGCTCCGCGTGCGGAGCACGTATTAAACATGCCAGGACTCAGCATTAAAAACAGCGATGAGTTCATGCATACAATCATTCGTGCATGAATCATGTATTCTAAATCCTACAGTTTAAGATATCCTATGTTTCAAAAAATGCCCTGCAGAGATCAATCCACCAATCGATCAGCGCACGACCGACGACAAGGTTTACTTTCGGCACGGCGCGGTGCGATCGCACGAGCACCATCTGGGGCTTGTCACCGGCCAGCGCTTGCGGGGCCCCCCCCCCCGCTCGTTGCCGCCACGCGGCCGCTGAAAAGCGCCAGGGCCTTTTGTTTTGTTTATTATGCGTCTTCGTATTCGACGTCGTGTTTATTTGCGTTTCCCGTTGGAGCAGGTTCCTTTTTCCCGCTGGGGGATTCTCGTTCGCGCCGTGTTCGGTTCGGCTCCGCATTATGTTGCAGTCTCGTTGTATGTTTTTTGGGCTGCTGTTTTTGTTCACCCCCGTTTTGGTTGGCCGAAAACCGGAAAGCTGAAAATGGGGACCCCCCCAGCGTTTTTTACCATCACCTAAGCTCCCGCCCGGCATGCGCCGCCCGGTCCCGCCGCCGCAGGAGTCCGAGGAAGTGCAGATCGGAGGCGCTGGCGCGGAAGACCTCTCGGACGAGGAGAGGGAGCTGGAGGACCTTTCCGCGCAGTCGCCCGCCTCCTTCGCTATGATTGCCTGGTGCTTAAGCGGGATTGAAGGGTTCATTTGTGCAGTCTGAGCCCTTGGGGGTCGCACCATGATAGCTCTTCCTCCCCGCCCTCCTCCTGAACCTCCACCCTCCACCTTCTCGCCCTCATCCCAGATTCGCGTCGCGACAAACTGCAGCATCGCCGAAAATTCACGGCTGGAGCCCTGGACCGATCTTTCTGCGGTATTTCTCGGGCCGGTTCCATCTGTGGGGGTCCTGGAGCTCGAAGCCAGGTGAAAACGCACGGTGTGAGCAAAGTTCGACTGCACGTAAGAGTAACTTTCCGCTGGAGTGACCTTTGGTGCGGGCTCATCGGGGCCCCCTCGATTGCTCAGCGCGACGCTTTCGCGGCTGCTTGCTCGCTTGGATTTGGCCACCTTGCGCCCCCTTCGCCCGCGCACCAAAGGTGCCTAGGGTCACTCCTGCGTGTAGCCGAAAATCGCGACGCCCAGATCTCGAGGTCCCCCTCTTTCGCCCTTCCCCTCCTCAACCTGCCACCTGCTCCCCTCCCTTCTCACGCGCGTGCAGCTGCAGAAGATAGGGGGCGCGCCAGGTGCGCCGCCAACGGCACCCGGGCTGCTCTTTGACCCACGATCCAGCTCCTGCTGGGACCAGCGCTTCGCGGAGGTCCGGGTCCAGACCCGATCCCCGTCTCTCCTACTCCCTCGTTCTCCTCCTCCTCGTCCTCGCCCCCCTCCCACCCCTCTCACCCCTCCCCCTTCTCCCCCTCTTCCTCCCCCCTCCCTCCTCCCCTCCCCCCTCCTCTTCGCCCTTCTCTTCCCCGCCCCCCGGTTCCTACCGGTCCTTCTCCTTCCCCCTCTGCCCCACATCGCAGCGCTGAGGGGCAGGGTGGGATCTCAGACTTCTTATCTACGCTGGCCTCCTCCTCCTCCTCCTCCTCCTCCTCCTCCTCCTCCTCCTCCTCCTCTTCCTTCTCCTCGCCTCGCCTCTCCTCCTCCTCCTCCTCCTCTTCTTCCTCCTTTTCCTCGTCCTATTTCTCCTCCTCCTCCTTGGTCTCGATCGGTGGCCTCACTACTTGGTCTGCCCACGTCTCCTCCACCTTCTCGCCCGTCCGAGGCTCTTCCTCCCCTCCTGCCATCTGGCCCGTCTCGGTCTCGGCCTCGATTCTAAGTATGATTCTCAGGTCACCCGAGAGACCACCCATCGCCCAGTTGTGCTAGGTTCTCGCTTCTACCACAAGCTCAAGGCAGAGCACGAGGCCTCGCCCTCCCGCTGTTGCGACCTTGAAGCCCACCTGAGGTTCTTGAGAGCAGCGAAGCTGGCCATCGGCGCCCGTTAATCCGAAGCACACGTTGCCCCTATGCTACGTGCGCTCCTCCTCCTCCTCCTCCTCCTCCTCCTTATCCTCCTCCTCCTCCTCCTCCTCCTCTCTCATCATCATCATCATCATCATCATCATCATCATCATCATCATCATCATCATCATCATCATCATCATCATCATCATCATCATCATCATCATCATTATCATTATCATCATCATCATCCACCTCCTCCTCCTTCTCCTCCTCCTCTTGCCTGCGCTGTGCTTAGTGCGTCGCTGAGGGATGAAAATTAGCCAGCGCAGACTCCACATACATCAGAATACTGACATGAATTGGATGCGGGTGGACTGAGGTAGACTGGACCAGAGAGACTGGATTGGACTGGGGTGGACTCTACTCCGCTCGACTCTACTACACTACACTCTACTCTACTAGACTTTACTCTACTCTCCAGTTTGGCGCAAACCTGCCTTTGGCGCCAGGCAGGCGAGGAGCGAGCCGTGCCTCTTTCCTTCGTAGGGCGAGGGCGGCTCTGTCTCTTCTCCCTCGCTCGCGACGTCAGCTGTGGCGGCGGTAGAGCGCAGCCAGGCGCTGGCGGCGCGAATTCGCCCCGCTCATGCGGGCTCCCACGGCGGGCGCGGTCGAGGGCGGCGGAGGACGCCGGCACCTCACCGCCGCCGCTGCGGCAGCCACCCGCGCGGGGGCGGAGAGGCTCTTCGGAATGGGGGTGCCGGACCCTGCGGCCCGCGACGAGGTCAGCGCTCGGGAGCGTCGGAGACCGCTCCTCGCGGAGCGCGCGGCGGCGGACCTCGCGGGGGTGCTGCCTCGACGCCGTCGGACGGCGCCAAGGCCTGCCGCGGCGGGGCCCAGCACGCAGGGGTCGGAGTGGGCGCCGAGGCGGTGCCCAGCACGGCGCGCGGGGCCAGGCGGCGCGCCGCAGCCCGCGGCGCCGCGGGACGGCGTCCTCAGAGGAGGAGGAGGAGGGGGAGGAGGAGGAGGAGGAGGAGGAGAAGAGAGGAGGAGGAGGAGAGGAGGAGGAGGAGGAGGAGGAGGAGGAGGAGAGGAGGAGAAGGAGGAGGAGGAGGAGGAGGAGGAGGAGGAGGAGGAGGAGGAGGAGGAGGAGGATGGGGGCTTGGGTAGGCGCCGCTCTCCCTTGCCCCGCCCTTTCCTTCCTTGGCGGGCCCCGTCGACGGTGCCGAGGGCAAGCTCGAGCAGAAGTCCACCTGACAGGAGTCGCTGGGCGAAAAGATGTTGGAAATGGAGGCTGCCAAGGAGGACGTCAAGCAGTCCATGGAGCAGAAGGCCGAGCTCGTGGAGGTCACGCGGAAGATGGCCCAGCAGGAGGCAAAGTCCGCGGGTTTCTTGTGCACCTCGGCCTTGTGGACGAGGGGGGTGCACGCCGTGGCCGAGGGGTTGAAGGTGACCCTCGCCGCGTCGGCCGCGGCGCTCGAGGAGGCGGAGGGCTGGGCCCGTGCCGCCATGGTGGGGCGCGATGGCCTAGCCCTGGAGCTCGTGGAGACCTGGGCGATGGCCTGGCTGCTCCAGAGCGCGGCGTGGATCGCTGCGCACGCCGGGGCCCAGGTCGGCCAATCGCTGGACACGCGGGCCCCGGAGCGCGATGCGGAGGCAGTGGAGGAGCACTCGGAGCAGCCAGGCGCTCGGGAGGTGCGGATCCGAGTGCTCTCTGGGCGGCACGCGGGGGACGCTTGGGGGGTGCTCCTCGGGAGGGGCACCCCGCGGGCGCTGGCCCGCCCCGGTGGTGCAGAGGACCCGGCCTCAGCTTGAGCACAGGCTTCACTTCCTCGAGGGCGGGGGCCAGAGCCGCGGCGGAGGCGGCGGCGACGCGCGAGTCGGCGCGCGCAGGCCCGCCTCGCCCCCCGGCACCGGCCAGGTGCCCGAGCGTAGAAGGCCTCTGTCGGCGACTTGGTCTCGGGCGCACTGGCCCCCCTCGTGGGGCAGCTGGCGTGTGACCGTGGGCGGTCGATCCTACCCGATGTTGTGCGACCAGCTGCCATATTTTACGCTACGGCGGGGGGCGTGCGTTAAGGGATGTGCACTGGAGGCTGCAGACCCTGGAGGGTTCCTTCTCTGATGAGGGTGACGGCGATGTCATGTGATGCCCATGGCCTAATATCAGTTGGTGTTCCGCTGGCTTCCAGACCCTGGATTCCTTATCTAAGGGTTCTTTTTTCCAATGCCCCCACCGTCTTATATGTTTATTCCATTCTACTCCAACTCTATTTGACCCCTATCCGAATCGATTATATGTATCTTCAACCTTATTCCCAACCTAGGCTCTCTAGAAGGGTTCTTACTCTATGGGCTTAAAGGGCCGGGCAGTGGAAATCGCCCCGGGCAGTTCCCCCGGCATCCGCCCCACGGTGCCCCCAGTTACGTCCCCTTAGCTTAGCGCCGCTTATCTCATCTTAGCTTAGCTCATTTCATCTTGACTTAGCTTCGCTTCATCTTAGCTCAGTGTTATCTTAGCTTAGCTTACCTTCATCTTAGCTTCGCTGAGCTTTAGCATAGCAGAGCACATCATAGCATAGCATAGCATAGCGTAACATAGTTAGGTTCTTCTCATGAAAAAAAGAAGTATGTTCCCTACCTAGGCTCTGCCTAAAAGGGTTCTTACTCTCTTGGCTTAAAGGGCCGGGCAGTGGGAACCAGCCCGGGCGGTTCCCCCGGTATCCGCCCCGCGGTTCCCCCAGTTGCGCCCCCTGGGTTCACCCAGCTTAGCTTAGCTTAGCTTAGCTTAGCTTAGCTTAGCTTATATCATCTTAGCTTAGCTTAGCTTTGCCTAGCCTAGCTTAGCTTAGCCTAGCTTAGCTTAGCGTATATCATCTTAGCTTAGCCTAGGTTAGCTTGGCTTGGCTTAGCTTAGCTTAGTTTAGCTTAGCCTAGCCTAGCTTAGCTTAGCTTACCTTAGCACAGTTTAGCTTACCTTAGCTCAGCGCAGCGCAGCACAGCGCAGCGCAGCATTAGCACAGTATAGCATAGCATAGCATAGCCAAGCACATCATAGCATAGCATAGCACAGTTCAGCATAGCATGTCACGGCATAACATAACATAGCATAGCATAGCATAGCATAGCGCAGCATATCGTAGCATATCATTGTTTAGCATAGCACAGCGCAGCATAACACAACATAGCACGTCATAGCATAGCATAGCATAGCATAGCGCAGCATATCATAGCATAGCATAGCATATCATAGCGCAGCATAGCATATCACGTCATAGCCTAGCCTAGCATAGCATAGCGCAGCATATCATACCACTACATATCATAGCGCAGCATAGCATATCATAGCACATCATAGCGCAGCATATGTAGGTTTAGGTGTAGGTGTAGGTGTATATGTAGGTGTATATGTGGAGGTATGTGTATATGTAGATGTAGATGTATATGTAGATGTAGATGTGTATATAGATGTAGATGTAGATGTAGATGTATATGTAGGTGTATATGTAGGTGTAGATGTAGATGTAGATGTGAGTCTCGTTGTTGATGTTGATGTAGATGCATATGCAGGTGTAGATGTACATGGAGCTGTCGGTGTAGATGTAGATGTTGCTTTCCTAAATGCTCCAACTCCTAGGTAGGGTCGCACTGGGACAATTCTATTGTAAACTACACTCCTCTGCTCTACTCAACGTTATTCTGCTCTACTCAACTCTGTCATACTTTACTTTGCTCTAGACGCTTCGCGTAACCCCACCAGCCCATCCAGAAACGATG